CGTGACTGTTTTTCTTTTTTTGGGGTAAAAATTATAAATTATGGAATCGTGCAAATTTATATTCATTCAGTATTTGGCAGGGGCGAGTCCACCCTTGGGCAAGGGTGGACTCTCAAGCCCACTCTCATTTTTTTAATTTTCCCCCTATATTATACTCTATTTCTATTTAGCCCACCCAAATTTTATTTACTAGCCCACCCAAAATTTCATTTAATGCAAAAGAAGCCCCATATTTTATTATTAGCCTACCCAAAATTTAAATTAATACAAAAAAGTCCCAAATTTTATTAATTAGCCCACCCAAAATCCAAATTAATACAAAAAAAACTCTAAAATTTGTTTTTTTTTTCTTTTTTTTTTTCGTTTCTCCTTTTCCTATTTTCAAAAAAATCCTAAAAAAGTCTCGGGGGCGCTGCCCCCGAACCCCCGAAAATTGAAGCCCCCCTGTACTGAATTCCTGGACTCGCCACTGGTATTTGGTATGATACATGTGAAACGTTCATAGGTTAAAAAGTGTTTTATTTTACAGTTTTTCTCGTATGAAAAATATAAAATATTAGTAAGTTGTTTATTTTCATATTTAACTATATCAGAATTTGTTTATTGCAATTAGTACCTTTAGTTATATCGAATTGCTATAAAATTACACTATGTTATTTTATTGACAAAACCCCCTGTGATATAATTTTTTTAGGGTAAATTACAACCACCCATGAGGTATGGTCAAATTACGAAAAATATCTCTATGTTTGGGTAATCACAACTACTTTCAATTATATCTTCTTACAAGTACACCCTTGCGGTATCAAATTTAGTAGAATTTTCCAGATTGTATGGAATATTCTCAATTTTGTACCCATTTTATCCCATTTGAGCTCCACATTTTGAAACAAGATGACAATAAGATGTCTTTTTTGGCTTGTATATATCAGATTGTGGTGCACCAAAAATTTTTTTTTGCACAAAAACGAGTACAAACTAGAGAACATTCAACTGGATCTAGATGATTATGTTGAATTTGACACCATAATAGTGGATGCGTAAGAAGATTCATAACTGAAGGAGGTAAATGTAATTATACAAATATAAAGACTCTTTGTAATTTAACCATACCTTAGGAGTGTTTGTAATTTCCCCTTTTTCTTAACACAAGGTTACTAATTTCAATAAACCCTTAATAATACAAATGTGAATTGTATGGAAACAAATTCCAATTTTTCAATAATAGGCACATATCTTTTTAGTGTAAATTGCACTTAGTCTGCTAATTTTTTTAAAAAAATGCACTTTCTCCCCTAAAAATTAAAAAAGAAAAGACGACCCCTTACAAAATATGTTTATGCTGCACTGTGCCCCAAAGTCAAACTTCCGACGTATTTTTTTGTCGGAATTGACAAAACTCGGTCCACCACTCAAAGGATATTACTATCATTTCACCATTGCCACCAAATCCAAGCCGTAATATATTTCATTTTGCACAAAACAATACGCCGAAAGTGTGACTTTGGGGCAAAGTGCAACAAAAATATAATTTGTAGGGATGTCTTTTTTTTAATAAATTTCTAGGGGGAGAGTGAGAATTTGTAAACATTCTAGGGGGGGAAGTGCAGTTTGTCCTTTTTTTTTTTTCTTCAATATATATATATATATATATATATATATATATATATATATATATATATATATATATATATATATATATGAAATGCTATTTGCGGTCACAAAATTGCTATTCGCGGTTTATAACAAAACCCCCCAAAACTGCAAATAGCAAAAAAAAACAAAAAAAAAATTCGAAAATTCGAAATCAAGCTTGAAGAAGGGTTGGGCTTCGGTTTTTTGATGTAATTTCGACTCTTTTATGTGTAATATGCATTGGGTAGGCCGATTACGGAACCAATTTCATGTTAAAAAGCCCTACAAATCGATTTGTAGGGCTTTTTTTTTTCGCAAAAAAATGTTCGAACGCCCAAGATGGGCGTTCGTACACGCCTTGGGCGCCCATCTTGGGCGTTCGAACATTAAAAGAAAAAAAAAAAAATTGCACCGGACGCCCAACTCGGGCGCCCAAATGCAGCTTGCACGCCCAACTTGGGCGTGCACTGCATGAATGGACGCCCAAGTTGGGCCGCATTTTGGGGGTTTTTTTGGATTTTTTTGAGAAAGTTTGGGATTTTAATGAAATAGAGTGTTTTCTTAGGTTTTGTTAGAAACCGCAAATAACAATTTTCAAACCGCAAAAAGCAATTCCCTTTCATATAGCACATTACTCCTTAAATCCTTAAAAGCATCCAGGGTTTTACGAGGTCGGAAATAATTTTTCATTAGCAGAACTCTACCAAACGCCCCCCAATTACCGATGGTTGGTATTCTTACGATGAACGTTGATGTTGTTTGTCTGATTCCCACACCTCTAATTTCCGAATTGCGTTTTTATTTTCCTTTAGAATCAATCAATTTTCGTTTGTGTGATTTCAATTGATTTTTTATTTGTTTGAGATTATGGCGATTTTTAAGAGTCTAAACTCGGAATTTAATGTCATAGTGAGTTCGAATTTGTGAAATTTTATGTGTTCCAATGTACCTTAATGGGGGAAACGCCGTTTAGTGTTTGATATTGCTGAATTATGTTCGTTGAACGATGTTTATTGGAGAAAAAAGCTTTCGAATTTACTTAGTTGAATTGTTCGATTCGTGTACGGTTTCTAAGTTTTTTTAGGATGCTGATACGGTGGGGTTTCGTTAACCTGTAAATTTGTTTTGGATATTCGGCTTTTGATTCTTAATGTTTACTGGCATATGTTGCAGGCTTCTGCCAAGCAAAGGCCACAGGCCAAGAAAGCTGCTGCTGCCGAAGATGACGGTATGGATCCAACGGTACGTCTAACTTCTAATTTACCTTATATGAAGATATAATTTCTTTGAATTGTTTTACTTTAATTTACCTTATATGAAGATATAATTTGTTTGAATTGTTTTTACTGAATACAAAGTCTTTTTATAATTTGTTTGAATTTTTTTACTGAATACGAAGTCTTTTGTTCATGCAGCAATATCACGAAAATAGGTTGAGAGCGCTCTCGGCACAGAAGGAAGCCGGGAGTAATCCATATCCCCACAAATTTGAAGCCAATTTGACGATTCCTGAGTTTGTAAAGAAATACGGATATTTAAATAGCGAGGAACGTCTTAAAGACGTTGAAGAAAGAATAGCGGGTACAAGAGATTATATTTTTGATTCATATAACTAAAATGTTACTTTGGGTTAATGATGATGTTGATGTTTTGTTTTGAAGGTCGGCTTATGAACAAACGATCTTCGTCATCGAAGCTATTCTTCTATGATCTACACGGCGGTGGTGCTAAAGTACAGATTATGACCAACGCAAAGTAATTCCTCGTCCATCTTTTTACTTTAACAAATAGACTTGATTATTATTTTGGCAAAACGGATTCTTCTTTTGATTAGAAACGTAACACCTTGTTTTCCTCAATTTACTCTGTTTATAGATGGTCAGTTTCATTCTTTGACATTTTCCGTTTTTTTCCTCAATTTACTCTGTTTATAGATGGTCATTTTCATTCTTTGACATTTTCCGTTTCGGTTATTAGAAGTAAGCAAATTATCAGATGAAATACCTTTTGGTAATTCTATATAGTTTCATATTTCCATTGCAGTGTTTTTCTTTGTTACGTTATATTGCCCTCCGTTGTAACATAATTTTTTCTTATGGTAAAGAGGGAAAAGAGAGATGAATGTACGCTGAAAGTGGCGGAACTCTGAAATAAGTTTTGCTAACTTAGT